GCCATTCATTACCTTGCTATGCAAGGTCATATGCCAGGTCAAAAGTCGTGTGAATCGTAAACAGGAACAAATAAGATCTGGACTACGTCAGCAGAACACGAGAAAGCCACGCTACCCCGATCATTTTCCAACGGAAACAACTGGACCGTAGCAGCGGGTTTGCTCAGTAGTTATCCGCCTCACAATGGATTTAGCAATGTTTCGGACATTGTGTCTATACGCGTGTTTCCCGCCATTGTAGAAATTGTTCTTGCTAGATATCATTCCACGATAGTATAGAAACCCTGATTATACCTTGTCGTTGGTTCCTCTGCTAGATATGTGTCACATAGCAAGGTCAATTGTCGGCTCCCGACACCTAGTTGTCATAGTATCACAAAGGTATTGCACAAGTATGTAAGTTCGGGAATTGGTTCGCAAAACTCCGAGTTCGTAAACTCTCGCCCTGCTGAGCTTGATCCAAAAGTACTTGATCCAACATACATACTCAATCTACAAATCCATTGTACAACACTTTTATGTAGATAACTTACTAAATTCGCTAACGTTTCAAGATTAAAGATCCACAACAACGTTGAAGCTCGAGCTTGAAGTTCCACATTAGACCTCGTTTTGTATCTCCATCTGTTTCAATTTCAATCATCTCACTTGTCAATCCATACCGATAATACATGTCCACAACACTTGAGCAGGTTCCCGAATCTTTCACAGACTGCTTTGCGCGGCACATCATCGCTCAGGATGCATTCGATGATTTTCACCTCATATCTCGCCCGCGAAGTATGGAACTCTCTCCCTGTATAATATAAAGCACGCATACGCTCCGCCGCCTGTGTGGTCCTCCACACGGACGAAAGAATGCGAAATATGCGAGAGGGAGGTGCTGTTGACATATCACATCTTATCCCACGTTCGATACACGATAAGGTGCTGAAGAAAAATATGCACCCGGAGTCTATCATCAATTCCGTTGCTTGGCTATGTAGGTGCGTTACTATTCAACCTTGCTGTCAGGGAGAACGATCCTCAGATCGCTGATTAATATCATACGCATTCTATCTTCATGTGATTTCTGGTCTGTACAGGTCATGCCACACAACAGTGCACCATATGGCCACGAATGACGAATTGGCCCGCCATTATTACACGGTTGACCTCTTACTTGGCCGCGAGGATATCCAGAAATGGCAAAAATATGCCGCGAAGCAGAGATGGGGTGTCAGACGAGGATGAGGATAATAATGTCATACCTTGCTGGTGTTGAAATCGTGGGCTAAACTCTTGTCGCTGCTACTTAACGACGGGCTGATGAAGGCATTAAGAACTACCTTGGTCTATGATCTTATCTTGGAACTTGGCTCGAAAGCCACGGTATCTCGGATATGGTGTAACGGTCAACATTGCCGCCTCTCAAATCACCTTTTCGATGCTCAACCATGGGTGTGATCGCGGCAGCTCGGGGTTCGATTCCCCGTATCCGAATATTTTTGCTCATGTTCTAACATATAGTTGTTCATGATGAGGTGTATCACCCAGGGTGGATATACAGATCACCAATTCGAAACTCAGGCCTGGTCGCCCGCCCCCTTTTTTGTTTGACCGTAGCAAAGGCATCATTTTATTATTCTTCCTGGTAATTGAAATCTGGCTCATGCGCTCGCCCTTTAGTATGACCGAGATGTCCCCTCTTGAGCAGGTTCAAATTACGGATGCTTTCAATTAGTTTCAATTATGTACATCATCAAACGGCCGCGCTACATCGACAACTCCGGTGCTCTCTGGGCCATGACACATCACGGTGTCCGAGGCAAGTATCAAAAGTATTTCCTATGTCGACTATGACAAGTCCACGGGCTCATCCATTCCCAGTTCCGTGCAGCCAAGCTGACGGATGATGAGTGCATCATGTTCGAGGCCGCCTTCACGAATTCAATCCAGGCGCGTTCGCAACCCTGCGTACTTGTACATACTGCCCAGTGTGAACCAGGCGAATCACGAGGTCATGCACGTCAGGGATGGGACTGCTGCGCTCGGAAATATTTGGATATTCAGAATATCAGTGTGTTACAGTGTGGGTGTGTGCATATACTTATATATGATTATTATCCCTCGTGACGTGTGCGATCATCATGTGCGTCTCATGAACTGTAAAATCATAAGTGAACCATAAATCATAAATCACACGTGTAGCCCGTGGGTCCATGTTGGTCCTGTCGCGACGACCACGCGTAGTCACCGTGGTAGATCTAGAGTCACATCATCAGTGCTAAGGGGGTTGAAACGATTCAGCGGTGACGCAGGATACTGATATCATTCAAACGGTTATGATGGAACAAGCCCCACGAAAGATAGAAGCAGAGAAAAGTCTATGTTCGCCCGAGATCCATTATAAGATAATAATACGCGACTGGGTAGCAAGATAGTCACCGCCGGGGAAGCTAATAGGCTACGTAGTTGAACGTGCGCTACTACCAGTATGTATATTTAAGAAAAATCCAATCGACCCAATCAAAATCCAAATAACCAACCCGGCCTTGCCCTGCCCAGCCCTTCTGGAACCCGACGGACCACGGCCAGAAGTGAGCGCGGAGACCGACAAACGAAAGATGATAATCGAAAAGGAGAGAAAATAAGCAGAAGACCACGGAGACGAGGGAGGAAGAATGCCATGGTATGAATAGAGGTATGCAGTGTGTCTATAGTTTGGATGCGATGCGATATTGAATGAGGTGAACGGCGGAATATGCAAGGTTGCTCGGTAGTGGTGGTGCCGTGATAAATTGCCAGTGCAAGGTCTACAATAGTCTCCAATGAGAGAGAGGCGAAAAGATGAAAGGCAGTGGCTGTTCAGGCCGTGAATTTTGGTTTTGATTTGCGCATCATCAACGGCGGTGATGAATTGGGTGAATTTGGGTTATGCGTAGGCTGAATGTCTTGTGTTAGCCGCGGTTCTCGGTTCGGAGGCGAGATTTATGACAAAGGACTCACTGGGTTCATGTACGCGGGGATTGGGGGCGGGTGCTGGGGAAATGACGCAGCGGTCTTTGACAAGACTTTTTTGAGCTACAAACGCGTTAAGTTTAAAGTCAGCTTTGTACGTTAGTCACTGGCACAGATACGCTTACCTTTGCTTCGCTTTCTGCTGCACGCTGGGCGTACATGTTCGGATGCAGCGAAACACTGTCCATGCTTTTTGCTTGTGGTAGTGATGACAGGGCGCATGATAGACTGGGAAGAGCGACGAGTTTGTCCGCCCTCAGGGTCGATGATTGTGAATGTTGGAGAGTGGTCATGATGGGGCGGGTGAAGCAAAGGGATTTCGAGTATGTGTCCAAGCGAAATAAAGACGAAATAGACACAGAGACAAAGACCAGAAACGCACAAAGCACGGAAGCAAAAGGTTGAAAGAAAATGTGTGGCGCTGGATGATAGTCCGTACTTATAATACTTAGCCGGAGACACTTTCCCGCGCGATGCCGTTCGGTGGAAGAAGACTGGCCACGCCTGGCTGGAAACAAACGGGGGCGATAATTCCAAAGGTTATTCTGATAAATGTTCTCATAACGATGTGCCCATGGATCTACGATTCAGATGGCATGAGCCTTATTTTCGGATCCAGATACTACACTAATAGATCTCAGAACTGGCCCGGGCCCTGGGATCTTTGTGCCAATGCCAGGTGCAGTCAATTCCTCTTCCGAATGATAAGGGCGCACCACGAGCCCAACTGCCTTTTTCGTTGCCTTCCAATTCCTCCAGGTCCAATGCCTCCCTGACAATTCTCTTCAGGCTCTCGCTCGCGTAATTTTGGGGGCCTTTCTCAGCTGCTTTCTGAGGCTGTAGGCCTTCCCGGCATATCTCCTCAATCTGCACCTTTACTATCCTTTTTCTGGGCTCTTCGTCTGTTCCTTGACGCGCGGCGTCCTAGGATCTCAATATGCAGCATGGCCTTGTTCATGCGTCTGCACAACGCCAATACAATACTGCCCAATCTAATACAATCCGTTACATTCCACCATTCAATACTCCCCCGCTTCTATCGAGGATATCTTGCCTCAGGACTGCAATCTTATCTATCTTCAAAAGCATATCAGCTGCCACTTCCATACCGCTTAATAACCGCTTTCGCTTTCAAGAATCAAAGTTTCAATTGCGAAGCTCGCCGTGTCCCCGAATGTCAGATCCAATCCTATCTTGTGATGCTACGGACTTGCCCGAACTGCATGACGAGAACCTCGCGCGTGTGACTCTGACCCGCACCGTCAAGCGCTCCGTCTCAATCGACAGTCCAAGTTCCACCGCGGGCTCACCCCTCTCACTTGCAATCCCACTTACCGTTAAAGTTTAACTGGCTTCCCCAAACCAACCCGGCGGCCCGCCTTGGTGCTGATCTGACATCATCGCCATCTGATCTCGTGCCATTAAGATTACAGCAACAATCAATCATACGAAACACACATTCCCTCGGTAACAACCAGCCATCAGTGATCTGTAAGTAGTAAGTAAACCGTCTCCTTGGCCCCTTCATTATGACTCGAACATGATCGTATATGATCGAAGAATTACCTCGACATCGGTTCATTTGTAATTGGGTCGTGCATTCACTATTCAATATGCACTCATGCACTCATTCGAACGGTGAGTCGACGTGCGCAAACCCCTTGACGCCCATCTGCGCACAACCTGTACTTTTTTACCGGCCTATTCCGAAGAGCCGTCGCCTTATTTACAGACACTTACCAATGGACATGTTCAAATTAAAATGATGTTGGCATCCCCGTTTTCAAAGGTAGGTACATACTTCCCTCTCACGATAGGTACATACATGCATGCAGCGAGATGAGATCTTTCCCATGCGATAAGCATAATAATCGTTTCCTCATTTCGTTTCCATTTGCGTTTCCATTCCTTCCCATTCATTGGTCATCGCGACCCGGCACCGAAGGTGGATTCGAGTTGTACATACGCATCCATACCCTCTTCCCAATCAGAACACGCCATCTATAGATTATATATAGTATAACTCCCTCCCGGGGACGGGAATTGGACACGACTCATGCCAGTCCACCAGTCACAACGACTGCAGCCCATTTTCCTGGTGCGTTCCCCTTCCGGTAGACGCCCAATACTTCCCGGACGCACACACCCACACGAAACTCGTGTTGTTTCGTTACGAGAGGCGGAAGCGCGATATTTGATGTTGTTCCGCCGTGTATGTGATGTGTGTCAGCGGATGTCGTTTGTTATCCGTATGTCGAATTCTCAACGCCGCGGTCCAGTGCGGATCATTGGGTGCTGGGTGTGTTGCTGAAGTACCGAACTGTTCAAATCATCATTGACATCTCGAGTCAATATCGCGATTACGGCAATGTTCTGATGCACTGCCAGCTGCGCTTTGGTTATCGAGCCTTCCTCCGCTGCCCCTGAGGAGGTGAGGCAAACGCGTGTCGGCGCTGGCGGGTCATGGTGTATCTATGATCCGAATATTCAGGTCATTATCACACCGTGATAATATGGATCACCGATAATTATGGATCTTATGCATATACATAGCTAGCTATAGCCAACCAATCAAGAACGTCGCCTCGACTTGAAGGATGCTCTTGTTCTGTGCCATTCGTAGTGTCAGTCTCCAACATGATTGGGTGCTCGACATAATGATAATGTTTGAATCATCTATGGCCAACATCGCCTAGGGAAACATGTCGTAGACTGGCCATTACTCCTATGAGGCAAATTTCCCTCGACCGCTTGCCTCATAATTAAAAAGGGAGTGGTGAAATGTGGCCCGGTGTGGTGCGATGTATGAATTTTCGAGTGAATTACTTATGCTCATGATGCTGCGGGTCGAAGGCACATTCAGTGTACATCGAAGACTGACAATGACGGGACATAATGCATGGACGCGTCGGAGACTGCTGAATCACTATAACAAAGAGGCAAGTGTGAACAGTCTTCCTTCTATTTCATAAGCTATGAGTGCATAACCATCGCGAATTAAGTAGAACTGCAAGAATTTATTCCGGAGACGTCCTGGAGATTAAGACTTCAGCGTAGCTGGAAGCGTCAAAAGCAAGAACGAATGAATGAATTTATATGAAGGCAACTAGTACGTATGAATCCTCGATGAATCCTTATACTTCTTTTGTTTACGGTTCAACCGCCGGCGAGGCATACGGACATCGTTCTACCGCTCCTTATTTCTCCGAGCTTCCCTTCAATCAGCTTCCAACCAGGTCCTTCGATCGCGCCATTCTACATCTAATACGCACAACTACCAGCTAAGGGCTATGCCATACCTTGCCAACGCTCCCTAATCCACTTGCCTCCCCCCAGCACATCGACTCACTCCACAGCTTGCACGCCGTCGTATTTTGGCAAACGCTCGCATGCCCGCACCCAGTCAATGTTGCCCTGTACAAGCTCTGTGACGAGCGCGATCACGTCATTGATGGGGCCGATGAGCTGTTCAGTCGTGTCAC